AAGAACGACCCCGCGAAGGAGGCGGCGAGCTTCACGTCCCAGGTGATCATCATGAACCACCCTGGGCAGATCGGTAACGGGTATGCGCCGGTGCTGGATTGCCACACGTGCCACATCGCGGTGAAGTTTGCCGAGCTGGTGGTGAAGATCGATCGGCGAACGGGCAAGGAGCTCGAGAAGGAGCCCAAGTTCCTGAAGAACGGAGACGCTGGTTTCGTGAAGATGGTTCCAACGAAGCCGATGTGTGTTGAGACCTTCGCCCAGTATCCCCCTCTGGGTCGTTTCGCCGTGCGTGACATGAGGCAGACGGTGGCCGTTGGCGTGATCAAGGCCGTGGAGAAGAAGGAGAAGGAAGGCAAGGTGACGAAGGCCGCCATGAAGAAGGGAGGAAAGTGAACTGGTAGCTTGTTTCCTCTTCATGTGGAATCTGTGCGGGATTCCGACCTGTTTCTAGTGTGGGAAAGATGCCGTGATGTGAGTGGCGTAGATACGCATGATTTTCTTAGTCACGCAGAGTCGGCTCTTGCAGCTGGCGATGGTTTCGCCGGCGGTTTGGCAGTCGGAGGGAGAGCAGACGCGGAAGTAGTCGGTAGGACGTCAGGTTTTTTTCCTGTTTTCCGACGGGGAGTGGGATTATGTGACGACAGTGTTTCTCAGAATTATGAGGTTTGCGCTGTGCTGAGGGAGTGGTCGTTTCGGTGTCTTTCGGGTGACGCTAGGTCAAGGGAAGACACCTGTCGAGGGATTGTTTCTCCATCATTCTCATCTTGGAGTTTTGTGCGGTATCTGTTGGGTCTGTACGATGATCGGATGGATACAGCTCGATCGCGACAGACCTGGGTGCTCGATAGGCGATGGCGTGGTTAGTGAATTCGGGCGCGTTGTCAGCTTCTACTCTTCTTCGAGATTAGGTCTATTCTTCGAGATTAGGTTTATTCTTTTGCGGATTGTCGAGTTTGTTGAGTTGATTCCATAATGAATAAATGGTCGGCCTAGACGGTTAGGGTTTTTAGCCTTCGTTGCGGCTTTGTTTCTTTCTGTTTGGGGAGTTTCTACGGCGAAGTGAAACAATTTGTCGGTTCTGAATTGATGATGATTGATTGCCGCTGGCTTACGGAAGTCTGCGGGTAATTCGTCCGCGCTGTAAACGGACTCTACAGTACCCGTGCGTGTCTATCATTTTGCAATACCGGTCAACACTCCGTCCTCCCTTGTTTTTTGAATGTGAAGCATGCCGTTTAACTGGTGAGATTTCTCGACTTTTACCAATGTGTGAAGGTCTTCCTATTTACAGTCCCCTTGCCGCCGACCCTTTTTACAGTACATAGAATCTCATTGAATCTCTTTACTTCCTCTTTCTCTATAGTACATCCTCCTGATCCCCTGTGTCGATTTCCCCTCTTGCGAATACGGCACGTATGGACTGCCTGGTGTTGATTTCCCCTCTTGCGAATACGGCACGTTTGGACTGTTTTCATACTTCCCGCTGGTATGTACGTATTGACGCAGTTCTGCTTTGCCCTCGCTGTGGCCCTCTTTTGCATGCAATACCCAAGTGTTTGTGGTGCCTGTGACACCTCCCTGTCCCATTGCTGCTTTTGCACATCCCTCGACATTTCCTCTGTTGTCGGTGTAGAGGTTCTTACCGTTCATGAATGATGTGAAACGCTTCCTCCCCTCCCCCTTCCCCATATCCTTTGGACACGGTTTTTCTTGTGACCCCCCCTTAGCACTCTGCTTTTACGGCTTGTGTGTAAAGTGCCGTCTATTGTTGTACTCTTTTGGTGTTCCCCTGCCGAACGTCGTCCGCTCGTAAACCATTCTCTCTCCTCAATGCTCATCATCCATCTCGAATTCAGTGCTTAGAATTTTCAAGCCATTGTTAACCTTCGCCTGTCTTGTGGGTAAGCACCGTCCCCGTTGACGGTTTCTTCCTCTCTGCAGGTGGATTTGGGAGTCTACTTATGTTTAGCTGGAGTTAACAGTGTGACTGTTTGGGTCGGGTGTCGTCTACGTGTGCGAGACAGATTTTGGTACAATTGTTCGTCTAACATGTTTGGCAGGAAGTCTCTATCAGTAGGCCATGGTTTGGCGGGAAGTCTCCCGTAGTAGGCTATGGTTTGGCGGGAAGTCTATATCCGTAGGCGGTTGGACTATCGTCTTTACCCGAACAGAACTCCCGGTCATTATAGCCGCGTATGTGGCGCAGCGATAATGACCGGGCATTGTATTCGGGTGAAGAAGATAGCAGCATTTCGGCAATTAGCAAATCGTGTTCGGTGAATTAGTGTTCGCTGAATAGGTGTGGTGTGCCTGAATTGGAGGTTTTCTGAGTCGTTATAATTCAGTTGCTCACTGTTGTCTTGTTGTTGTGAAGAAAAAAGGTGCGTGATGTGGTCTGGTTGCTGGAAAATGCAAGGCCTTTATCCATTTTCTAAAGAGGGAGCTGTATGATTGCGTGTCGGTCGGGTGCGTCCACTTGCAATTGCACCTAGCCTATTGAAGTTTCACTTGCATGCTACTTCATGTATTAAGTCGCGAAAGGTGTATCTAATTACTGGCCTATCGAATTTCAGTTCACACTTTCAAAAGGCAGAGCCGTAAATGTACGACATGTATATGGACTGTGATCTACAAATGCACAGGACGTGTATATGCACTGGGATCTATATATGCACAGGGCTGGGGTGTGGATCCTCAGGACCCGTCCCGGGTATAACTGACATCGAAACACTTTCCCCTGGCCCTATGGGCCAATTATCTTCCCTCAAATCGGACGCTCAAAAGATGTAGGACGGAAGTATACGTGCAGGAGGTGACTGCGAGAGTGATCGGGGCGTTTTTGGGTGAAAGACGGTAGGGTTGCATGAAGCCGCCTTTCTTAGGACTGTCCATAGCTCTTCCAACTGAAATAAGCCGTGCACAGTGTGATCTGCCCTGTGTGACTCGGTTGGGGAAAGATGTTGAGTCGCTGTTTCTGGATATGAGGGGATGTGGTGGTCCATACTACTAAGTTTTAGTACGTCCGCCCGGTCCATGACGAAAAGCAACTCCACTTCAAGCGCAGGTTTTCGAGTTATGGATGAAGTTATGGATACTATGAAAGATAGAATCGAATCTGAAGAGGAAAAGCTTCAAAGCTTGAAACAATTCAGAATGCACATGGGAATTCACTTCTGCATCTGGACCGGTTATGTTGTGACAGTCGGTGGCGGGGAAAGAACCCTCTTATCTCTGAAAAATTCTCTGGGGTGTGCTGCTTCCCTGCTCGATGCATCATTTCTGTCTCGAGGAAGCTCGGATACTGAAGAGTTTTTTCCTTCGTCTACCGTCTTCACCCGAATAGAACGCCCGGTCAGTATAGCTGTACTTCGGCGAACTTTTGGTATAGATACAGCTATACAGAGATAATGACCGGGCGTTCTTTTCCGGTTGAGACTGGAGGAAGGCTACTGACTCAGTAGCTGGGAGGTCAGGTTTGTGTCGTTGATTCTCTTACCTAACTCAACTGTGAGGAGATCAGAATCAGGAGCTCGCGGCCTCGCAGGCTTGCTACTGTCTCCCCCCGAACACAACGCACCCTCATTTTGGCTGCACCGGATCGGGAAGATGGCTTGTGTACATGCATTATCAGGGCGCGTTATGGTCACTGGAGGACGCTAGCTCAGTAGCAAAAAGTTCTCTTATTGGGTTACTAGAGTAGGGCTCGACAGGACAAACGTAATTACTTTCTCCGAACAGAACGCACCCTCGTTTTGGCTGCACCGAACCTGATAACGGCTTGTATGCATTCATTATCGAGGTGCGTTATGTTCGGTGGAAGACGGTTGCTCAGGTGCAAAAGGAGTTTCTTACCAATGGTGTTGTTCAGGTGGGAGACGAATCCAACACCTGTACTGATCAATCACCTGTCAATCACCTGTTCAGGATGGTCATGACTCTAGTCGTGTGTTATATAAAAGGGGGGAAGGAAGCGTGAAAGAAGGTGGCCCTCGAAAGGAGGCTGCATGGAGGGAAGTTTGGGTCCGCGCTCATGAGAGATTGGCCCCAAAGCAAAACAGGATAAGAAAAGAGAAGGTAGAACGTTCTCATGACATGATTAGTTCGTCAAAAGAAAAGTAGTAGTAGGCAAGTACCTGATCTGTATGTCAAAATCTTTGAAACGTGGGTTTTTTCGTCTTTTGTTTTTTTCTTAAACCACTCGGCCGAAGCCAAAAAAAAAATTACTTATCTCGATAATGCATTGTCATACGTACACGGGGGCCATGCTCATCTTCTCTGTATTTAATTTTGACTGATGTCCCAAATCAACTCTTATTCCATTCAAGGATGGAGATGACCAACAGTGAAGAGAATCTGGCTACCGTTCCTCGAGGTCGTGTTTGATCGTGTTTGATTGTCTATATGCAGATTGTGTTTGATCGTGTTTGATTGTCTAGATGAAAAACTGGTATTAGATTAGTATCCCACTGGAATGGAGAGTGTACCCGTCTTCGAAGACCCGAATACAACGGATGGTCATTACAGTAAGCTGTATTTGGGCATCTTTCTACAGCAATAATGACCTTATGTTGTAGTGCTGGAAGGAGGAGAAATTGCATTGGAGGAAAGAAGGGAAGTGTGAGGAGAAACCATCAGTATCCCTTATATCAGATAGACGAGCACACAGCAACATAGCAGAAATTTGAGATATTTGAAATGCTGGGGACAGAAAAATCGCTGGTGTCCTTTGGGAAATCCGTTCAAATTTGAACGATACAGAGACGATTAGAATGGTCCTTGCGCAAGTAAAGGTTGACACGCATAAATAGAGAAATGGTTAAAAAAGAAAAAGAGAAAAAGAAAACAGAAAGGAGAAATCGCCGTTATCAGTGGTTGACACGCATACAAGGTTGACACGTGAGAAGATTAGCATGGCCCTTGCGCAAGGTTAGCATGGCCATTTCAATAGTTTCAAGTTTCAAGGCATAAATAAAGGAGGATGAGAGTCTCTAATAAAACGTTAGAATTTATTATTATTATTATTATTATTTATTTTATTTTTTTAAAGCTTTTTAAAACGTTAGAATTTGACGCATTAAGGCAAGTAGAGTCGGCTGTTTTAGAAAAGCATCAGAAACAAGTAGTCTGCGAAGAACTGCAGACCAGCAATATGAAAGGACCGACAGAACTGAGTTGGCATTGAACCCGACAGAGTTTTGGTGGGTGGTTGGTCTGAAATGTGAGACGAGGGAGAGGCAAGAAGCGGGTGGACCTACACGAATATATATCCGAGCCTCCCAGCACGCTGCGCGCCGAGTCCTGCGGAACCGCCGTCGCAGTTTTCGTTTTCGTTTTGCCTGCGGCCTCCAGCCAATGCGGTCCGGCAGGCCGAAGCCCAAATGGCGCGGCGCGTATACGGGAAGCGCCGCGGCCGATAGCTGGGCCAGGTACTGGTGGCTTAAAATATATGATATATATATATATAACAATATATAACAATATATAACAATATATATACGAGGTTAAACTGCACTATCGAATGAGCGACCAATCGGAGGGCACACAACCAGAAATAACGAAGCTGTGGGAAAAACCAATGCAAATTGCGCAGCAATGGATGGTATCCGTACCTGGCATACCGCCGGGCCCATTATAGTGGGAATCAGACGTGAACCAAGGTGCGGGAGGTCAGTTGGTACACCCATGAAACTGTTGAAAGACGGACTCAACTTCGAATCCTGATACTTCACTGCGCGGTCCTATAAATCAACGGCTGGAAATGTGCCGAAGGGAGAGAACCATAGAACACAGGGTTTCCCCTTCGCAAAATGTGCCCCAGAAAGAGAGCCGGAAATGAGGGTTCACTGGTTATTGAACGCGGTAATGCAAAAGGGCATATGGGAAAAGAGACCTTGAACAAACATATGGAGACAATTTAATCTGACAGCCTTCCCTGCTGACTCCCTATTTCCACCTTACAAAAGAAAGAAGTTGGACCATTTCTCAATTTAGTTGTGTCCTCCTTGCGCAGAAGCCATGCTAATCTTCTCTTTATAGATCCCATTTTAACCTATGTCCTGAAGGGCGAAGGGCACCCCCGTTTTCCTCCTAATAGAGAAGAGGAGGTGGAGAGGTGGAACTCCAGTTTATGGAGGAGCATGGACCGCTTTGAACAACTTTAAGAAGGGAGGGATGTTTTTAGGTGATGATGCTGCGAATCTACGTGCGTGCATCTACATACGTGCGTGCATCGACACCTGTGCCGCCGTGGGTCAACGTGCGTGCATCGCACGGCACCTGTGCCACGTGGGTCTACGTGCGTGCATCGCACAACACCTGTGTCACCGTGGGTCTGGAGAAGCGCACGTAGTGCAGCAAAGCAGGAGAGATCCCTCCGATGGCTCAACTGCTGCTTGTAGGTGTGCAGCAAAGCAGGAGAGATCCCTCCGATGGCTCAACTGCTGCTTGTAGGTCAGCCACAGAATCCCTTACAGATGCACAAGTTTTCGGGAAGGGCGTGCCTGCTTTGGCACAAGATAGGAGGAGGGTGGGGAAGCCCTCTGGCCATGCAAGCAGCATGGTGACCCCTTTTGGGTTCATCCTCGAGTGTGAATGACAGTGGTGATCAAGGTGGTGTGTAGTGGTGATCAAGGTGGTGTGTAGTGGTGATCAAGGTGGTGTGTAGTGGTGATCAAGGTGGTGTGTGATTGCAAGATTCAAGCATTGACTAATCAGACCCATCAGACTGTTGATATCCTGGATCCCAACCCGAATGAAGATGCAACTGATCAGGCGTTTGTGGAGAAGCTTGTTAGAGGCTGTTCGTGGACCTTAAGCTATTCAGGTTTTGATGGATGCCATTGAGAAAGCAGCTGTTGTCGAAGGTCCAGCATGTGCATGCGATGGAGATTGCAGAGAGGCACCCTGTCTTGTTGACAGAAACAAAACAAGTCGAAATTTACTAAATTAGTGAGGAAGAGACTACAACCAGTATGTGAAGCAATTGGGACAGATGAGGAGTTCATGTGAATATATGAGACAAGACCAAATGATTTTGAGCGAATCATGGAGCTAATGCAGCATATGCAGGATTCTGAGAATCCTGCAACCGGTAGTGAGATTGTGGAGGCACTCGCATATGGGCTGGATGTGACGAAGAATGGATCACCAGTGTCTCCTGACTTATCAACTTAGCTAGAATTGCTGGGGGTGGGAGTGGTGGTGTTCTTGATACGGACAGACCAGATGTGGCGCCTCAATGTACTATCTCCTTGCGCATGGAGTCATGTTTCGTTGGAATTTGGTGAAATTAGTTTCTAGCAGGGTGAATGGTCGCAGGCGTGGTTGTGTAGACGCTATGCAAGTGTTATGATCCTGGCTATCTAGAAGTGCAATAACTCAAAGAAAGAAAATGCGCTGCAATCACAACTGGAATGAAAGAACTTGGAAAGAGAAATAGACGAAGGAGGAAGAACAAATAAGAATGGAAGAAGAAGAAGAAGAAGAAGAAGAAGAAGCACACCAGCAAAGACCAATGTCAAATCTCTCTCCGACTCGCCACCATCTCCAACCGCCTTGAACTTCCGCAACTCCTTTTTTTTTTTTTCAAACTCTATACCCTTTAAAGTTACAGCGCACCGACTTGCATATTTTAAGTAGTTCATCCGGGGATTGTTGATTGCAATTCTACCATGGACCAGTGACTTTCTACCATCAGTCCATCCGAGTCTCTTGTCCCCACCGTAAATTGCCGATGTGCTCCAAAAGAAAATCAACCGACGTGGGCGCAACATATTTTCTCGTTGCCGGGCATCGTGGATGAGTTCGCTGTTCACGTGGCGTTTTAACCGCCACGTAAAAAAATTGATGAAGAAAGGAGAGATGTCGGCTGTTTTGGCCGCCAATTTCGGTGCGAAAATCATCAAAATTTTCCAAAACAAACGATATGGGTCCATCGTGCAAACGTCAAAAAAAGAAATAGGCCAAAGAAAATGGGAAAAAAAATGAAAAAACACTATAAAACCCCAAGGTCCCTAACACAAAAACACTGTCCAAGTTAAAATGAAGCGTTCAACAAATTGAACGAAATGCCAACTTTTTCATTATTGATCCAAACATGTCAAAACTGGACACATGATGTACCCTAAAGCACATATACGTCACACAAAAATCAGTACAATGTGATAGTTTCGGTGCAAAATTCTCCGAAAATAACACCCTTGGTTAACCACATGTGGGAGAAGAAACCTTCGAATTGGCAACTTTTGAGGGCATTCTAACACGCACACTATTCTAAATGCACCTCACTGCAATTACGGCCAGAGCTATATGCGTCTGACCCCGATTGCATCCATAGTTCAGTTTAAAACATCCTAGTGTTAGTATGCTATGAATCATGTCTTTCGATACTCACCGGGTAACCTATTCCAGGTTTCCATGGAGCTGATGTGGGATTCCAAAGGGGAAGGTTTGCTGGTTGTGAGAAGGAAAGAACCATATAAAATGTGCATTTTTAACGAAATGGTGGTTTCTTGTTGGCTATCACAATCCACACCTCCACAAAATCAACAGTTGCTATGGGCATCATGGACCATGATCAAGGCTGTTGTTTTCCTGGGTGATACATGGCTGTAGTGGCAGCTTTATCACCAAAGCTTGAACTGTCAGTGTTCATACCGTGGACATCCAAACCCGCCATCTAGATAGAAACGGACTCTCCAGGACCATCAGGAATGGGTAGAGGTTTTAGCAGCCCCATGGGTTTTGGCCGATGGTTTGATCCGTTGACACACTTGACACTCAGCCACAAACTTGTGAGCATATCCTTTCATACTAGGCCAACTAAATTGTTGTAGCAGGGTTTCGTATGTCTCTGCAAAACCAAAGTGTCCACTTCATGCAACAGATAATCAGTGTCCAAAATAGATGACGCTGACCCTCCCAAACTCAAATTTGTCCAAGTTGAGATGAAGCTGCATTTTCTTGAGAATGTTGAACACCTTCTCAAGATATCTCAGGTGTTCCTCCATCGATTTGTTGACAATGTCATCAAGATAGACAACCACAATTTACCGATCTATTTGCGGGGTATTTTGTCGATGAGACTTTGAAAGGTGGCCGGTGTATTCATGAGACCGAAGGGCATAACGGTGAGTTAGTATAGCCCATCGTGAGTCTTGAATGCAATCTTGAACTGGTCCGCAGGATTGACCTCAATCTGATGGTAACCAGACTTTAGATCGATCTTGGAGAAGACATTGCACCTATCTGCAACATCAAGCGAGTCATTGATGCGTGACAATGAATAAACATTATTTCTTGTGATGCGGTTTAGATCGAGATAATTAATACACATTTTGAGCGTGCCTCATTTCTTCCGGGCATGAAACCTTGAACTGGTTCGCAAGATTGACCTCAATCTGGTAGTAACCAAGCTTAAGATCGATCTTGGAGAAGACCTTGCACCTACGTACAACATAAAGCAAGTCATTGATGTGTGGCAATGGATAAGCAAGTCATTGATGTGTGGTAATGGATAAGCAAGTCATTGATGTGTGGCAATGGATAAGCATTCCTTCTTGTGATGCGGTTTACACCACGGTAATCAATATACATTTGGAGTTTGCCTCCTTCCTGCGGAACAAACAAAACAGTTGCACCAAATTCAGATCCGCTAGGCTTTATCCACCATTTGTCAATTATCTCATCGATTTGCTTTCAGAGTTCCTCCAACTCGCCGGGTCTCATACAGTACATACAACCCTTTGGAGGAGCAACGCCTCCAACCAACTGAATCGTGTGTTTGGCCGAACGCATGGGGACTCCACGTAGTTCGCTCAGAGATTCCGGAAATAGGTTGAGAAAACTTTGAATGTTTGTTGGGATCTCGGGGGTAAAGGATCGGAATAAGGACCACGCCAATCAGACTGCAAATTAGCAGTGAAGGCAAACGAATTCGAAGTAGCATCATTTGGACCACAAGTGGATATAGAAGTATAAGTATTAGAAGTAGGCACATCATGCAAAGTATAATTAGTACTAGCTGCAAAAGCAGAAAGGCACATGAGTAAGACGGGCAAAAGAAACATACAATTGTTCCTCCCCCTTGTGCTTTCGCCACTTCTTGTGGAATCGGATGACATCGAGAAAAGTCATTGGGGATTCTCACTTCTTATCCAATAAAACTGTGTGTTTGTTCCTCATAACATCATGCACTATGAAGGGTAATTCCTTTCACTCAGCTCTTTTGCATTAGGACTATTAGCCAACCTAACCCAAGAACTGCGTCGAAGGGACACTTGTCGAGGACATAAAAATTTAGTTCGTGTGTGACGACTTTGTCCTTGTCAAAGGTAGTGCGCACACCTTTGACTGCATGCGTAGATGAGACGACTTCTTTGTTGCCAACTTGGGTTTGACAACTGGTTTTTAACCACTTGCTTCATTCCCAAGCCCGCCTTGTGTACCCGGTGTTGAGACATGAAGTTAGTAACTGCAGCGCAATCAACCAAGACACGAAGGGCAAGGTTAATGAGAAAGTTGAAGAAGATCAACTTCGCGGTCCCTCGAGCACGCTGCTATTTCATCTCAGCTCAATTCTCTAGGTGGTAGTGGAGGTCAACCTTTTCAGACTCCTCCCAAGCCTCAACATACAGAACATTACAAGCGTCAACCTTAGAATCAGCAGGTGATGGGGCTTCAAGAGAGGACTATTGAACTGAATCAGGTTCCTTAGGAAAACTTTCACTTACCGATTCTGGTTTCCTTGGAACCTATAACAGTCTTGGATCTTATGATTCGGTTTCTGACAATGCAAACAAACTCCCTTCTTAATCACACCTATTCATTTTGACTGATCTAGAGTTTCAACCAAGGTTTGGTTGTAGCATCCTCCGGATTGGCTGGGATTTTGGCTAAATACGATGAAGTTTTTTCCGTGGTTCCGGTTTGGTCCCTTCATATTGGTAGATTTTATAGACACATTCAATTTTTCTTCTTCATTATTAATGTCATACTTTTGGGTTGAAGAGGAACGAGCTATATGAACGTCCTGTTCCTGGTCGTCACCAAGCGTGGGGTCATTTGCATAGGCCTCCTCATCAGCCTCCAATAGGTCATACATAGCAAAGCGGTTGCTACCTCAAAACCGTCTGCCACCAGTAGCCTTTTTTATGCCTGTCATGAAAACAAGGTCTTGTGCGAAGAGAAACCCATAAACAACCTCAACAAACATCAATACCTGTCTCTTATACACATCTAGATGTGTATAAGAGACAGCATCAATACCATGCGCACACGCTCATGAGCAAGCATCCCATAGGTGCACGACAATTACATGTGTGGCCTGAGCATCGAGAAGCCAGAAGGTTTTTTGATGCCTGTCATGAAAACAAGGTCTTGTGCGAAGAGAAACCCAGAAACAACCTCAACAAACATCAATACCATGCGCACACACTCATAAACATCCCATAGGTGCATGGCAATTACCTGTGTGGCCTGAGCGTCGAGAAGAAGTATGACTCAACCCCGTCTCATATGGTTCTCCTGGCCCTATCAGCAACCCCTACACTAGTGTCCTATCACCTAGGAGGGTCTACCCTACCCCAAGGTACAACACCGGATCCCTCGTTGATGTTGAAGACCAAAGTAGCAACTTGCGTTTCGTAGGTGCAGATATGGTTGCCACCCTCAAGCTCGCCAACTTGAGGGGAGCCCTAAAGTCGTGTCCTCCTTGAAGTTCAAATTCCAGTTGTAGGTGCCTCTCACTATCGCTTCTCATAAATTGCATCACGAAGCTCTTCGTGTCCCGCCACCCCAATCTTACACTCTTGCAACCCGTAGGGGTCAAGTGCTCACATTGCATGACCCTACCGGGTGGGGGCAACTTCCCTTCACCACACTGCCCCACTTCCCTTCACGAACCAATCCTAACCCTAAGTGCTGCCCTCAGCCACTTAGGTTAGGGTTAGGGCAGCGAAGTCAACTCTCGCCAGCAAACAGCATCCACAATGATAGCAATGTTACGTTCCTGGCCAATTTCGAAGTGCTAAATTCACAAGAAAGCACAATGTCATCCAATTGCAAAAAAATGAAGGAACTTGAGAGAAAGGAGAGATAAAGAATAATCAGCCACACACACACTCAGACAGACAAGCACTCAGGCAGGCAGACGAATTAGCAAGCACGTACACACACTGTGACTTCAGACTTAGAAAACTCAGCGAAACGTGGGAATCTTACCACGACATTCCTTCCAGTGACAAAACTCATAAATCAGCAATATTTTGAGCCTGTGTTCTGGCGGTTCATCACAAGAATGAGTTTCCTCTGTTGGTCTGAAAGTATCTGGATTCGAAATCGAGTCTGTATTTCAACAGTTTCATGGATGTACCAACTGAGCTCGACCCCTTGATTCACGTCTGATTCCGTTATAACTTATAATAGTCCCGATGGTATGCCAGGTACGGATTGCATCCATTGGTGCACAATTTGCATTGGCTTTTCCCACCACTTCGCTATTTCTGGTTGTGTGTTGTTGCATACTGTAACGGTGCAGACCAGAACAAGAACCGACCTCTCAATACAAAGTACAAGATAGCGTAGCGGAAGACTTAGATACCAATGATCCGAACAATCAATATTGCAATGCAGCCCTGAACATACATCATCATTATCGTTCCATGGTGTGAATGGGGTCTGGCGCGTCACACAGGAAGACTGCGCCAGCCCCAACCATACACAGGCGAAGAAGAAGGGGGTTAGACGAAGAGGAGGGGAAGATGGGAATGTCGTCAACACCAAGTCTTCGACACAGGCCCAAATAGTCCCTCGTCAAAATGTCTGAATCCCAAATGTCGAGTCTGGATCCAATGTCGTCAAGTCTCAAGTCACAACTCTTTCTCTCTCTGTCGTAGTCTGCTGATCCTGAAAAGTCAGGTGGTGAGAGGGTGAGAAGACATGGTGGACTTAGAAGAGGAAGAATAAGAACTCTCTCTCTCTCTCTGTCCAGTACTAACCTGTGAAGTTGGCGCCTTGATGCAGGTACCTCGAAGATGGAGCTGGAGCTATGGCGCCACAGGTAAGTACCGCTGGCCTCCGCCAGCCATCTCTCTCCAACACTACCACTTCTCTCCAACACTATCACTACCAGCTACTAGCGCCCTGCGTTGAAGACTACTACTGCAGCTATGAGCGCCCAGCGCTGAAGACTATTGCTAGCGCTAACTACTACTGCCAGCACTCCTCCTGATTGCTGCGGCTGAATCCTGAAGACTACTTGTGCCTACTGTCCACCACCTACCGTGAAGTGCATGGGAAAGTCCTATGTACTACTCGGCCTGCCTCCTGACTGTAGGGCGAGGCAGTCCAGGAGGCCGCTCTTGCCAATGCCGCAGGGAGTAAGGGGCCGCCGCTGCAGCTCCTGCTTGAGGCAGTCGTGGGAACAGGCTAAAGATAGCCTGTTCCGAAAACCCTGTTTTTGTGCCTGAGTCTTAGGGTCGGTCGAAACAATGAGGGCCTGAAAATGGCCCTCCGTTTCAGGCTGAAAAGCCTCTGGGCCTGAAAGGCCCAGAAATAGGCTGAAAACGGAATAGGGTCTGCAGACCCTCGTTTTTCGGTTTCAGAATGAAACGACAGGGGCCTGTAAGCCCTATTTTCTAGGCTTTTAGGCTGAAAGTGCGGGACGGGCCCTGTAGGGCCCATGTGGCTACGCAGTATGCCACAACCCTCCCTCCTTGAAAGACTGAGCTTACCTGCGAGGGCGAAGCTGTCTGTCTGAGGGAGGGACCACAGTCCGGGTGGGAGGGGCCGGTCGTGAAGCTTCCTGAGATAACCTTTGCTTCTCATAATGAGCGTAAATCAGCGGTGCGGATGCTTTCAAATTTTCTCCTGAAATCCACCGAGTGTCGTCGCGATCGCAGACTTTGAATATAACTTTGTACTGTCGCGGCTTGCTGCTGTACTTGCGATCAGTGATGACGCGGTCAACTTCCTGATGACCATCCATAGAAGGAGGGTCCTGCGATCGTCGGCCCGGAAAGTCATCGCTCTTAGTTGGCGTGTATGTTGCCAGCTTTGAGGCGTGAAAGACTGGATGGACTGTCAAATGCGGGGGGATGTTGATCACAAATGAAGGGCCATCGGGCTCATCGCCCGCGGCTGATGTTACAGGCCATGGTCCAAACGACTTGGGAAGCAGTTTGCGTGAGACATTCTGTTCCTGTGTTAACTCTTTCGCGGAAACCCAAACCAGGTCGCCGGCGCGGATGGGACATGGCACACGATGCCTGTTGGCTTAATGCTGCATGCGGACTTGAGCCTTTTGCATATTTGCTCGGGCTTGAGCCAGCAATTTCTTGTACTTCCGGACGGAAGCGGGAGAGCAAGCGGCATCGATGTCGGCTGGTCGTGGGAGGAGAAGGTCGGCGAAGATACGGCCTTTCCGTCCACCGTGGTGCAACTCGAATGGAGTCACGCC